GATGTTGCTGCCAGGGATTCCACCCTGGTGGGGCAGGCTGCCCAGATAGAGCAACTCCTCAAGGACGCTGAATCGGCCAAGTCGGGCGCTGAGAAGCTAAGTGCCGCACTTGCCGATGCTGAGAGGAGGATTACTGAGCAAACGCAGCGGCTCTCTGCGGCGGAGGAGAGGGCAGTGGGCTCCGAGGAAAGCTGCCTGGCCCTTACCCAGGAGCTAGATAGGATCAGAGCCGAGGAGCTGACCCGGAAGTCGGAGCAACAACTTCTGGAGGAGTTTGCCGATGACGTGCTCCCCGCCCTTGAAGAAAACAGCAAAGAGTTCTTCAAGAAAGGGTGGGACGAGGCGCTCCAGGCTGCTGGAGTCCCGTCAGACTCCCCTCTCTTCCAAGTGCACAAGTATGTGCCCTCGGCAGAGATGGAGCAGGCAGAAGCACAGGTTGCTGCCGAGGATGAAGCCCCTACACCGATGCAAACCTCGGCTGATGCTCCCGAGACGGTGATAGTGGACTTGTCCGAGGACGCTCCGTCCGACCTTGCCCCTGAACCTCAAGCTGCTCAAACTGTTCCAGCTGTTCCTGCTGACGAAGTTCTTCTCCTGCCCGCTCCAGAAGCTTCCCAACCTTTTATTGCTGATTCGCCCTCGGCCGAAGTTCTGGAGGTGCCTGGAGCCCGATGAAGCTGCTTTTCATTTCCCCTTTTTTGTACCCCTTTTGCTTTCCTTTTGTAGCTTTTGGGGACGCAAAGCCCCTATTTCTTTTGGAAATGAATAACTAGTCTTTTTCATTTTTCTGTCTTCTTCTGTATACAGTAGTGTTTTGCTTTTCTTTACTTCTGTGTAGAATAAACCATAAGTGTTTTTGAACTGTCTTCGGGGCGTGCTGGCCCGTTCCGGAGGCGAGATCTTGTATCTACTCTGGGGACTTGAATGCTTGTGTTTCGCTCCCAGGACCATGTTTTTTATGGATGCTCGTTCCTGCATTCACTTCGGGGACAGAAGTCCCTGAACTCTGTCCCCAGGGCCGCATCCTTGCAGGAGGCTTGCTCCTGTATGTACTTCGGGGACGAGAGTCCTTGAACTCTGTCCCCAGGGCCATACCCTTGCAGGAGGCTTGCTCCTGTATGTACTTCGGGGACGAGAGTCCTTGAACTCTGTCCCCAGGGCCATACCCTTGCAGGAGGCTTGCTCCTGTATGTACTTCGGGGACGAGAGTCCTTGAACTCTGTCCCCAGGGCCATACCCTTGCAGGAGGCTTGCTCCTGTATGTACTTCGGGGACGAGAGTCCTTGAACTCTGTCCCCAGGGCCATACCCTTGCAGGAGGCTTGCTCCTGTATATACTTCGGGGACGAGAGTCCTTGAACTCTGTCCCCAGGGCCATACCCTTGCAGGAGGCTTGCTCCTGTATGTACTTCGGGGACGAGAGTCCTTGAACTCTGTCCCCAGGGCCATACCCTTTGTCTTTTGTTTGGCGAGTTTTTTGAGAGAGAGTACTTCAAAAGTAATACTTCTTCAAATTCATAACATTCCATGGTCGTATTACAGGTCTTCCACTCATATCTTCTAATCCATACGACCCGGCGCCCCCGATTGATATTACTTTGTAAGGCCCTTCCCAGTTAGGTCTCATCTTTCCCTCTGTTGGATCCCGGGTGTTGGCCGTTACCCTTCTGAGGACTAGGTCGCCTATCCGGAATTCTCGAGTCTTGACCCTCCTGTTGTATAGTTGGGAGATCTTCTCTTGATATTTAGTTACCCTCAAGGCGGTTTCCTCCCTTCTTTCTTCCAGTAGGTCCAGATCCAATCCCAGATGATGATCATTTCCCCCTTCATCGAAAGCTTGGGTCCTTATGGTCGGGAGCCCAACTTCGAGGGGTATGATTGCCTCCATCCCGTATGCCAGGGAGTAGGGGGTTTCGCCCGTCGATGACCGAGGGGTTGTCCTGTACACCCATAAAATGTTTAACAGCTCTGTCGCCCACTTTCCCTTGGCTTTCTCCAACCTCTTCTTGATTCCGTTGATAATTGTCTTGTTGGTGGCCTCCGCCTGCCCATTGGCTTGAGGGTATGCAGGGGTGGAGTAGAAGTTACGGATCCCGAGATGCTCACAGAAAGACTTAAAGCGCCCGCCAGTGAACTGGGTCCCGTTATCCGATACCAGTGCGCGAGGAATGCCAAATCTGACGACTATGTTCTCCCAGACGAACTTTTTGGCGTCTATGTCTCGGATGTGACTTAACGGCTCCGCCTCCACCCACTTGGTGAAGTAATCTGTGGCCACGATGAGGAACTTCTTATTTCCCGGAGCTTTAGGCAGAGGTCCAACCAAATCGAGCCCCCATTGGGCGAATGGCCAAGGGCTGGTGAGGGGGTGTAAGTCCCTCGCAGGTTGCCTGATCGCAGGGGAGAACTTCTGGCACTGGTCGCATTTTTGGACATATGCCCTCGCGTCCCTTTGCATTCGCGGCCACCAATACCCCTGAGACATAATGCGGTGCGCCATTGATCGTCCTCCAGAGTGCCCCCCACATATTCCTTCATGCACTTCGTACAGGAGGTCTTGCACTTGATCTTCTCGGACGCATAGCAAGTAAGGTCCTGAGAAAGACCTCCGGTAAAGCTTCTGATCCGAAGAGACCCAAAATCTTGGAGCTTTCAGCCTTATCTTTCTAGCTTCCCTTGGACACTCCGGGAGATCTCCTGTTGTTAGGAATTTGACAAAGGGGTCGATCCAACTGAGCTGCTGGGGCGCGTCCTGGATAACCATCGCCTCGAGAGTATGATCAATGCAGGATGTGGGGAGATGTTCAATGGTAATCCTGCGTGACTGGGAGGAGTCCACTGCCGAGGCTAGACAAGCCAGGGCGTCGGCATGTGTGTTCTTGTCGCGGGACACCTGCTTGATTTCAAATCGGTCGAACCTTTGGATAATGGTCGTTGCCTGGTGATGGTACGCCTTCATCCTAGGGTCCCTCGTTTCGAATTCCCCATTGACTTGATTGACCACCAGCATGGAATCGCAATGCACGATCAAATTGGTAACTCCAGTCGCCTCAGCTAACCGAAGTCCTGAGATGAGTGCCTCATATTCCGCTTCATTGTTCGATGCTTTGAACCCCAGCCGGATGGCCTGCTCTGCAATAATCCCTTCTGGAGAGGTCAGCAAGACACCGATTCCGGACCCCTTACTGTTCGATGAACCATCCACACATAAAAGCCATGGCGATCCTTCAACATTTGTTGGAGATGCTAAGTTGGGAGGAGGTGATCCTTCTAGAACAGGATTCTCCCCCGAAAACTCGGCTATGAAGTCCGCCAGTATTTGTCCCTTTATTGCAGTTCGGGGTTTGAAATGAATGTCGTGCTCCCCCAACTCTACAGCCCATTTGGAGATCCTTCCGGAGAGTTCAGCTTTCCTCAAAATGCCCTTCAAGGGCTGGTCAGTTAGGACAGTGATTGGGTGCGCCTGGAAGTAATGGCGCAATTTCCTTGCAGTGGTGACCAACGACAGAGCCAGTTTTTCTAGGGGCAGATATCTTGTCTCTGCATCTAGGAGCGCCTTGCTGATGTAGTAAATCGGCTTCTGTTGGTGCTCATGCTCACGGACAAGTACTCCGCTTACTGCAAATTCTGAAACTGCCAGGTATAGGAACAGCATCTCCCCCTGGATGGGGACGGATAGGGTCGGAAGAGTCCTCAGGTATTCTTTGATCCCAGCCAGGGCGTCCTCGCACCCCTGGCTCCACATACTCTTCCCAGCACATTTGATTGCTACAAAAAGGCGCCTTTATGTAAGGGATGAAACCCTCCACTCAGGATTTCGGCTTGACCTCCGCGCGTTCGGGAGTAGCCTTTACCCCTCTTCCTGAGCCGGAGCCCTGGCCTAGCCTAATGTGGGGAGGGCGCACCGTATCCCACATCGGAAGAGAGTCGTCTTCCCCCCTCGCATATAAGCCCTTACACTCAAAGGAGGAGGTACCCACTAGTACCTGATCAGGTGCCTAGTGGGTACCTCCTCCTTTGAGTGCAAGGGCTTATATGCGAGGGGGGAAGACGACTCTCTTCCGATGTGGGATACGGTGCGCCCTCCCCACATTAGGCTAGGCCACCAGGGCTCCGGCTCAGGAAGAGGGGTAAAGGCTACTCCCGAACGCGCGGAGGTCAAGCCGAAATCCTGAGTGGAGGGTTTCATCCCTTACAATGCTTTTAAAAGGATTGTTTTGTGGTGGCTCACGGGGAAAGCGTGTTCTATAATCATGTTTTTTGATAAACGCGTGATTATTAAATATGCTTTTAAAAGTGTTGCATTTTTTTATAAATAAGTTTGAAACAACAATACAACGGTAAAAACATTTAAATAAAAAATATGGTAAATGTACAATTAACTCTTGTAAGTCTCCTTGAGAAAGATACTTATAGATATCTAGGAAAAACAAGATAATAAAAACAATGAAAGACCCGATACAGAGTTTTGCCTTCTATTCAGGTAAGATTGAGGAAATATGGATGACCATCAAATGGGAGGTGAACATAGTCACATTAATAATATAATTGTGTTTTTGGTCAAAAATAGTTGTACAAAATTCTTGCCATTAGAAATTTGAAGGCTAGTACAGGATAGAGTGAACAATACATACCGGATGTTGGTAATCTATGTTTTCTTTTTCTTTTTCTTTTTTTGTTTTTTCAACTCATTTTCTGTCTCTAACACAAATTAATTACAACTAACAAGGGTACAACTTGGGTGGCCAACGAAGGTTCAACCCAGCTTATGACCAAGCTTAAATTTTCTAACTCACCTACACGAATTCAGGTTTGTAGGTTGAAATTCGAGTTCATTTTGAAGTTGATTCGAGGATTGCACATCTTGGCTTCAAATTCGGGTTATAGCTGAACCCGAAGTACTAAACCGGGGTCAAGCGTAACCCAAAGTCACTAATTCGATATGGGTCTCGAAAACACGACACCAGAATCAACAAACCTGTAACATTCTCTATGACATAATTAGAAAAAAGAGGCAAAAAATAGCAAATTTACCGTGACTTCAATGGGCAATCGAGTGTCAATGCGATGCTGGTAATACAAGTCAATGCAATCGATGTCAAGCCGCTTCAAGCTGGCCTCACAAGCAGCCCGCACATATGCCGGATCACCACAAATCTCTCTGTTCCCGTCTGTGACCCTAAACCCAAATTTCGTCGCCAATTCCACTTTCTCTCTCACCCCTCCTTTCAAAGCCTACACATAGAAAACCCATCACCATACCCATCAATATTTCACACAAACATAAACATAAACACAAATAGCAGTTGTGAATAAATCTGAGTTGTGGGGAGTACCTTTCCGACAAGGATTTCGTTAGTGTGGGGCCCATATAAGTCGGAGGTGTCAAGGAAGGTGATACCACTGTCGACGGCATGGTGGATGAGTTTGATCATGTCGGCATCGGGCTTGGGAGGGCCGTAGAAAGCGGACATGCCCATGCAACCTAGTCCCTGAGCTGACACCTCAAGACCTTGTTTACCCAATTTGATCCTCGGCACTTTTGTTGCCATTTTTACTTCCTCAAATTTCTTCAACTGCGAGTAAGCATTGAGTGTGCTGAATTTATGGAGTGATGCTCACCCAATCCATGACGAAAGTTTACGGTATTTATAACGTAAGCGGTGACGCTACGAAAATTATTAAAGTTAAAGAACAATACGAAATTATGAATAATATTTTTTATTTTGAAATATCAATATCATATATGGCTATATATAAAGAGATGTAGGCTTGATTTATGGAGCATCGGTGAACCCTCTTCTCTTGTATAAATCCACCATTTTTTACTTTTCACCACTACTATTGTTAGTGTATCTTGTATTTTGTAGATCGACACTCCCTCCTTTTCTGGTATCAGAGCCAAGTGAATGGTAGTTTAAGTTTATTCTGTTATATACAGATCTATTATTAATTTTTGTTACTTATGTAATTGTGATTTAATTCTGTTAGACTACTATTATTATGAATTTGTGAATTTAATCATATTATAATAATATTTCTTGGAGGTTTTGTTGTTTGTTAAAATTTTATTATGATGATATTTTTCTGTTGCTCCCTATTGTTTTGCATTTATGGTCGCGTATTAGGGATGATTTAGGCTGTTTTTATTCCCTTCGGACGTCGACAAGATTGATTGCAGAAATTAGGATAGTGGGAATTATCATTACAACAGGATTTTGCCAACAATATAAAGCTGATAATATTATTATACCAAGATTATTGTAGCAAATGTCACAATAGCAATACTATAATAGAATTAAAAGACAAATTAAAGTAGCAACCAGAATAAGGTAATAGTGAAACATATAAGTCAACATAACAACATTTGATACCACTATGACTTTAAACCTATTTAAATTTAAATTTAACCATAAAGATGATTATGTTAAAAACATGAAAGAGATAGAATTCTCTGATATTGAAAATAAATTGCAGAATTGAGATATATTTCAGTACCCTACTAAGAAAATCTACAATATTTGCACTTTTGATTTTAAATCGAGTATAATTATTAAAGCGATTGAAAAGACTGTTTCTTTTGATCAAAACGGAGATATTTTACGATTATGAACTGAACGCGAAGTTTTAAAGGCTCAAGATAATTATAAATTTATGCATATTGGATTAGTCCAAGTTACTTTAAAATATTTAACTCTTCAAAGATTAAATACATCTTTTATGATAGCATTACGAGATGTTAGATGTCTTGATTTTAATCAGTCTTTAATGGGAGTTATGCAATGCAGCTTAAGTACTGGTCCAATTTATTTTAACTGTTTTTCTAATCTTTATGTATTTTTGACAAATAAAAATATTTTGAATGTTTTAACATGCAATATTTAAATTTTTGGTTACAATTATAAAGAAGACACATATATAAATGTGTTTACTTATAGGGTCTATTATAAAGTTATGAATACTTTATATCCTGAACCTAAACTTTTGAACCTTAAAGGTTAAACTACTTTAAGTGAAACCAATACGGCTAAAAATAAAATTGAAGTCCCAAAAATTATTAAATGGTCAGAAATTCAGTTTTCAAACACCTAGCAATTGGAGTCTGTGGTCCCTAAAAACCTAGAAATAAATAAATAAATAATCCATATCGATCAATCATCCCAGGGTGATGTTACCATAAAATTTACTAGGATAAATTCCAATAATTATTTAAACTCTTCTGATAAATCAGAAACTTCACATTTAAGAAAATCTATTTCCTCGGTTCAAAATCGAATAAGAGATAAACAACTCATAATTAAAGGAATTAAAATTTTAAGAAATAATATTCCACATGGTATATATCGTCCAGCTAATGAATCTTCTCTAGAAGAAGATTATGATCCAACTCCCATCCGAAATCGAATTCTAACTATAGTTTTTATGGATTTCCACCCAAGAGAATTCCAGATGATAAAGGAAACTTGTAATAAAGAATTTTATTTTCGTTAATATGAAGAATTCAGAAATTGATTTTTTAAAATTATGAGTTCAGAAGAACTTCAAAATTATAAAGAAATGTGTTTACCTTTATATAAAAAGGGAGAGAATGATAATTCATTTTGTTAATTGGTTTTTAACCTATTTTGTTTCATCTGATACTAAGCAGTTAAATGAACTAAAAAATTACTTTCCTGATATTGAAAAAGCCACATTTATAAATGAATTCAAGAAAAAATTAAATAATCTTTCTCAAACAAAAACAGTAGGAGATAAACAGATTAATTCAATAATTGATGCACCTACGGATGCTAAAAATTTGACTATTTCAAATAATGACAGTCTAACAATAATCAGTTTTTCTATAAAAGGAATCAAGAAAGTAACTCTACTCACTCCACCAAAGTCTTTAAAGAGAAAGACCCGAAAGCTATTAAATGTTATAAGTGTGGAAAAATTGGTCATGTTGCTTCTACGTGTTATTATTATGTTTTCAAAAAAGACATGAAAAAATTAAGTATAAACACTTTAACTAATTCACAAACCTTTACTTTATTCTTAATCTTATAGATAAAATTCAAGATTCAATTTCTAAAAGAAAAGTTATTGAATAATATTTAGAAATAAATCAAGAAAAAAAGAGACCTAATTTGTTTCAACTATATTCTTTAAAAAAAGTCCTTAATAGAACCAAAAGTGACATCCTTGACAATTCATCCCAAATAAAGGAAGTTTTGTCTATTACGGTACAAGACTTAAAGAAAGAAATTCATAAGGTCAAAGAAGACATAAAAGTCATAAAGGCTAGGATTTTAGCCTTAGAAAAAATGTCACTTAAAGAAAGTAACATTCAAGATAATAAAACATCACCATCTAACTCTTCAAAAAATGAATTTTTAAATGTATTGAAAAAAATAACTTATCAAAAATGGTATATTAAAATTATTTTAGTTATAAATTCTGAATTTACTGTCGAAACTATTGCTTTAATTGATAGTGGAGCAGATATGAATTGCATAAAGGCAGGATTAATTCCGACTAAATATTTTGAGAAAACTACTTAGTCAATAAGTGTTGTTGATGGTTCAAAATTAAATATAAATTTTAAACTTTCTAATATTTTGGTATGTAATCAATGAATTTGTATTCCTACTACTTTTATGCTCATTGATAATTTAAATCAATTGGTGATTTTAGGAACACTATTTTTATCTTTAATCGAACTTATAGAAAAAATTGACTCTAAAGGTATTTTGACTACCATAAATGGTCAACAAATATTATTTGAGTTTATAACTCCACCTCAAATAAAATTAATAAATCAAATAAAAGAAAATCAAGTAAACTTTTTAAAAGAAGATATAAAAATCTTAAGTTTAATTGATAAACTAAATTCTCCCGAAATTAAACAAAAAATAAACCAAATTGAAACTAAGATAACTAAGGAAATTTGTGATACTCTTCCCACTGCCTTTTAGAATAGAAAAAAAACATGTAGTAACTCTTTCTTATATAAAGAAATTTAATGAAAAGGATATTCTAACTAAGGCTAGGTCAACCCAAATAAATAAAGAATATTTGAAATTCTGTAAAAAAAAAATTAACTCTTTAATGGAAAAATCATTAATTAGAAAAAGCGAATTCTCCACGGAGTTGTGTCGTTTTTTATGTTAATAATGCAGTAGAAAAAGAAAAAGGAGTTCCTCAATTGATAATAAATTACAAACCTTTAAACAAGGTCTTGCAATGGATAAGATATTCAATTCCTAATAAAAGGATTTATTGTCCCGATTTTATAATGCTAAGATTTTCTCTAAGTTTGACTTAAAGCCAATTTATTAGCAGATCCAAATTGCTGAGGAAGATAGGTATAAAACTGTTTTCACAGTACCTTTTAAACATTATAAGTGGAATGTTATGTCTTTTGAACTTAAAAATGCTCCACCTGAATTTCAGAATATAATGAATGATATTTTTAATCCTTATAATGCATTCTGCATTGTTTATATTGATGATATATTCATCTTCTCTGATTCTATTGTTCATCATTTTAAACATCTGAATAAATTTATTCAAATTGTTAAAAATAATGGTCATGTTCTTTATGCTATAAAAATGAAATTATTTCAATTAAAAGTCAGATTTTTGGGACATTATATTGAACATGGGAATATAATCCCAATTGAAAGAAGTATTGAATTCGCCTCTAAATTCCTCGATGAAATCAATGACAAAAATCAACTTCAGAGATTTTTGGGAAGTTTAAATTATTTGATCAATTTTTATCAAAATCTGGCACAAGATACTGCTATTTTATATGATAGACTTAAGAAAAATCCGTCTCATTGAACAGATTTTCATACCACAACAGTTAAAAAGATAAAATTTAAAGCTAAATATTTACCATGTCTTTCTTTGATAAATATAACATGGTCTAAAATTGTTGAAACTAACGCCTTTGATAAAGGTTATGGAGGTATTTTAAAACAAAAAGATCTCATTTCTCATAAATAATTTCTTATAAGATTTACTTAAGGAAAATGGGGATCTACTCAACTAAATTATTCTACTATCAAAAAGGAGATTTTATCTATTGTCAAATGCATTAGTAAATTTCAAGATGATTTATTAAATCAAGAATTTCTATTAAGAATTGATTGTAGTTCTGCCAAAAATATTCTTGAACAAGATGTAAAGAATATTGCATCTAAACAGATATTTGTAAGATGACAGGCTATCTTATCTATTTTTGATTTTAAAATTGAATATGTTAAAGGAGAATTAAATTCTCTTCTCGATTTTCTAACTAGGGAATTTTTGCAAGGTTCTCATGAATCAAGACCAAAGTAATTCCCGTGACAAAGGCCGTGGAAGAGGAAGGCCTGATGGCAGAGCCCAAGTTAATGCTTATTATCCCCTTTTAACTGAATCTAATAAACTTAAAGCTGTTAATAATCAACTTCTTAAAGAAGGGTATTGCATCTTCACATAAAGGTGAATCTTCCTACTCACATAAAGGTGATGATAAAGATAATGACGGATATACTGTCGTTAGATCTAAAAAATCTTTTAA